TCCCATCCGGCCCCAGGGCAGGGACTGGCTGGCTCCAGGGGGCAGGGAATGGGGCACGGGGCCTGTCACCTCTGGGGGGCGCTGGCTCCCATCCGGCCCCAGGGCAGGGACTGGCTGGCTCCAGGGGGCAGGGAATGGGGCACGGGGCCTGTCACCTCTGGGGGGCGCTGGCTCCCATCCGGCCCAGGGCGGGGACTGGCTGGTTCAGGGGGGTGGGAAATGGGGCAGGGGCCCATCCCCTCTAGGAGATTGAGGGTGAGGAAAGGTCATGGGTCATCCTCGTGCCAGCATGGTGGTGCTCTGGCCCCTTGGCCTGACGCTCGCCCTCTGCTCTCATTGGCAGAAGCCCAAGGACCTGCTGGAGCCCGGGCTCTGCAGCCGCTCCTACACCGCTGGCAGCATGCTGGGCGCGGACCTGCGGCGGGGCCGGCGCCGCCTCTCCTCCAGCCTGCAGGTGCCACCGTGGAAACCCCTGGACCGGGCGCGATCACCGGAGGCCGACAGCGTCCAGAGGCCGACCACCCTGCCCCTGCGCATCCCGCCCCGCATCGCCATCACCCACGCTGAGCCGGACAGGTAGGGCACGGGGGGATCACACTGGGGGAGGGGCTGGTTATCGTGCCCTGAGTGGGCACACAGCCGGGGGGTGAGGGGGCTGGTTATTGCGCCCTGAGCATGCAAACAACTGGGGGAAGGGCTGGTTGTGCTCTGAGTGTTCAAACACCCAGGGGGCTGGTTATCGTGCCTTGAGCGTGCAAACACCCAGGGGAAGGGCTGGTTGTGCTCTGAGTGTGCAAACACCCAGGGGAAGGGCTGGTTGTGCTCTGAGTGTGCAAACACCCAGGGGAAGGGCTGGTCATGTCCTCAGCTGCGTGTCTGAGGGCAGCGCCCTGCACTCTGCCAGCAGGTGGTGCAGCCAGGTGGAGGTGCCCGCGTTCCCTGGCGAGCCCCCGACAGCGCCCCCTGCAGTCGGGTCTCAGCAGTGCTTGTGGCCTGCCGAGGGTGGGCCCTGCAGACCAGCCTCCTTTGGCTAAGGGGCCGGCGCTGGGGTGAAGGGGCAACACGGGGGGAGGGTCTCTCAGATCCAGGGCGAGTGGTGATTTAATCTGGCTCTCATCCCAGCTGCACTAAGTGGTTTAGTCGGCTCAAATGGAGATTTATTGGGCACCGCGGAAATCTCCCTAAAACCATTATCTTGTTCCTGCCCCCTTCCCTGCGGGGGATCCTGGCCCATAATCCTTCCCTGCCACTCGGTGCCCTGTGGCGGGGTCGGCCTCACCCCAGGGCTGGGAGACAGTTACACCACGCAGGGCCATGCAGGCTGCATCTCGGGGCTCCGAGGCAACTCCCTTAGCGGGGTGGGCACCACGACCAGTCGTGGGGGGGGCGCATACAGAGACCAGCAGGGGCTTGGCTCCTTCTCTCCTTCCCTGGGGCTGGGCGAACCCACCACCTCTGGCAGACCCGCTCCCTCGATTGTGCTGGGCAAGGAAGGACCACAACGGATGCTGTAAGTGCTGCTTCTTGGCGGGCGCGGGCAGGAGGAGCTGTGCCAAAGCGTGTTTATTTGTAGCAGGGTTTGGGGGGAGCCCCCAGACAGCTCTCGCAGCCCTAGGAAGCCTGATTAGCTTTGAGCCCCCCGTGGGGATTTGTCTGACCCGTGGGTGGCGGCTGAACGCTGAACCCCCCACTCGTCAGCTGGGAATCAATTGTCTTTTGACACTGGAGAAGCAACGTCCTTGTTCCTTCAAGGTTCCCTGTTTGTTCCAGTCATTTCACCTCCCCCGGGGGCCCAGGCCAGCGACCAAACAGCGTTCCCACCCCCGCACTGGGGGAGCTGTGGTTCATGCTGGTTACCTCTGGGCTTTTGTCATGACCTCAGATAGACCAGTTGACTCGCCCTGCCTGTTCCTCTCGGAGCCCAGCGCCCCTGGCCAGGGCTTCAGCACCGATTCTGCCACAGAAGACCAAAAAAAGAGAGAATGCTGGTTTAACCAGCCTGTGACAATGTGGGGAGGTGGGCGCTGGAGGGAGGACGCGGGGGGATAATGCCAAAGGCAGGAGCTTTCTGATTATCCACGAAGAAGGGAGTTTGGGTCTAGTTCGTGGGAAGTGATGCCAGAGTTTGGAACTAGGGGCGCTCGGGTGGTTAAGGCGCCAGCTCTGCCCCGACTGCTGGCGTGATCCTGGACAGTGTTTCCCCGGGCTCAGCCCCGGCCTCGGAGCTGGATTTCCCGGGGCTCAGGCCCGTTCAGCAAAAGTGAAATCTTGGTTTGAAATAACATTTGGGTTCAGTATTTTTTCCCCTGTTCATTACAAATAAATCACAAACATTTCACAGGGTCCCAATAGAAACAAAGTGTTTAGTTCAACCCGAAACAATTGTCTTCAACTTTTTGCTTCACTGAAAATTTTGAAAAATGTCCTTTTCGGTTCGACCTGCAACGAGAGTTTAAAAAAAGCATTTGGAATCGCTAGCGAACCACAACATCTGTTATTCAATTGCTCTAATGAGGGGCAGCGTTCCAAGCTTTTCTCTGCAGCCAAAAGGGCCAGAAACGGACTTTGCTTTTTTCAGTGCAAGCTGCGAGTCTCCCCCATTCACATGACTCCAGGAGCTGGGGCTTTAAGCAAAGCCCCCGGGGTTTCGAGCTCACAAGAGCTGCCAGTGTGGATGTGACTGATTGGCCTCGGGGCTGGCTGGACCGTGGAGATGTGTGTCTGTTTGCTAGAGGGACAGCTGCCAACCTGGGAGGTGACTACTGGAGCTGCACCACCGTTGGTTGTCAGCGTTAACTCTCAGGCTAATTAAGCCGAGTTAACATTATGCTAAGCGTGAGCGCGGTAATTGGACCCAAGGTGCTGCTCGGGAATTATAGGCAAGATCTCAGCAGCAAAATGTCACCGGCAGAAGCCATTCGAGCAGCCATTCCTCAGCGCTGTGAGTTCTGCATGACAGGCCGTTTTCAGCGGCTGGCATGTAACCGCAGCCCCGCCACGGGATGCCCCCCGGTGGGAGGCTGGGCCTGGGGCTGAGGTGGCGGGCTGGGGCGCAGGAGACGCGGGTTTAATCCAGGTTCGGCTACAGACTCTGTGTGACCTGGGGCCAGGAACCTAAGGCGGGTTTCCAGGGTTTAGTATCCACAGCAGGGGCTGGATTTGCCATGGGCTGCAGCTCCGCCCAGATTTCCAAGCCAGCTGGACACCTGCTGGGCCCTTCCGGAGACCTGGCTGCTAATTTTGGAGTCCCCGAGGAATCGGCGCCCGCACGGCTCCCGGAGATAACAACCTGGCAAAGCTCTCGATGCCTGCACCCCCTGGGATGGCTGCAGCAGCTCGGGGGTTGGGCACGTTCGCACTCAGGTGGCTGGCGGCGCTGGGAGCTAGGGCCCGTAGGCTGGCAGGGGGAATGAGGCTGTCTGGGGGGGCCTGGCACAGTCCTTGTCCTGGAGAGGAGACGGCAGGAGAGAGGACAGGTGGTCTAGGATTATGGGCCCTCAGGAGAGCTGGGGTCAAGACCTTGCTCCGTGACTAGCTCTCTCAGCGGCAGCCGGGTGGCGCTGTGCTGCAGTTCCCCGCCTGGGCACTGGGATTTTGAGCCCAGCCTCACTGGGGGTGCACTGGTGCTTAGGGGCTGGCCCTGTAGGCAGGACCCCTGGGTTCTGTTCCCTGCTGGGTGACTAAGGCACATCCCTGCCTCACTCGCTGCCTCAGTTTCCCCTCCCACCCTGTGTTTGTGTCGCCTGAAAGCTTTCCAGGGCCGGGGCTGGCCCTTGCTCCGGGCAGTGCCTGTCTCGATGGGGCGAGTGTGGTGCTGCCCTGGGGACGGGCAATGCCTGGCTCCATGGGGTGAGTGTGGTGCTGCCCTGGCCCTGGGGACGGGCAGTGCCTGGCTCCATGGGGCGAGTGTGGTGCTGCCCTGGGGACGGGCAGTGCCTGGCTCCATGGGGTGAGTGTGGTGCTGCCCTGGCCCTGGGGATGGGCAGTGTGAATCAGAACAGTTTCCTTCTTTCCTTGCGATAGACTCTGCCAAGCGCCTGGAAGGTGATAAATGGGCACCTCTGGCAGGATCCCCGGGGGGAGTGTCAGGTTCGTGGGTATTAATCACTCCCCACAGCCGGCCGTAGATCTTCCCTGCCGCGCGGGGGCCGGGGCGGGGGCCGGGGCCGGGGCTGGGGCCAGGACGGGGAAGCTGGGGCGGCGCTATCATGCTCTGCTGAAGTGTGTCTGTTCCTACATCCTGGACGCTGTCATGGGAAGTGTGGGCTGGGAAAATCCTGCTTGGCACAGGCTGGGGGCAGGTTTGCTGGGGAAGAGCTAGGCAAGCAAGAGATAAGATGTAATCTAGTGGGTCAGGGACTGGACTGGGGCCCAGGAGAGCTGGGTTCTGTTCCTGGCTGTGTCACTGACCTGCTGGGAGACCTGAATCAGCCACTTTCCTGCTCTGTGCCTCGGTTTCCCCTCACACCCTTTGTCCTGTCCATTTAAACAGTGAGCTGGGAAGGGCAGGGTAAATCTCTTACTATGTGCATATCTGTGCCGGGCCCGCTAGGATCTACCATAACCCTAATAACTCTGGTGAGGACCCCGTCTCACTCTGTGTCTGGCCTCGACCCCTGGTTAGAGCCTCTAGCTGCTGCCGTAATAATAGGGCTAGGAAACAAAACGGAATCGTTAAAGCCGTGGGAAACCCCAGCAGTTTTGCCTCTTAAGGGCTCTATGATTTTTTCCGGGTTTGGGGTCTCCTGGCTGGATGCGTTTGGGCTTGACTTTCGCATGGTTTTCAGTGCAACTCCCCCCACCCCCGCCACCCTGGTTCCCCTCGAAAGGGTCAGGGAGCGTTTGCTCCTGCGGGGCTGAGTTGGTGACCTCACACTGAGTGAGTTTCACACGGCGTGGCAGGGTGCGCGTGTGTGTGGGCGTGTTCACGCCACTCAGCTACATAGCTCGCGAGCCCTGGACGTAGCCCCTCTGTCCCCGTGTAACCGCCAAGTCTCTGCAGTCCCCCAGGAAGAGCCCCTGGCTTGGTGGAAAGGGGGGATTCCTGCCTTGCCCAGTTGCCAGGGCTCCTGGTGGGTGAGGGAAGTGGCTTTCGATTGCTCCGCGGATTGGCCCCCCCGGGTAGTGAAGTGACTGGAGCAGACGCGTGAGCAGCGGGGCTGCAAGAGGATGCGGTGACCTTTCTGTGGCCGCCCAGGGCAAGGAAAGCTGGGGGGAGAGGGGGGGCCGCCTCCGTCTGCCTCGTGCTGCCAGGCTGCGTCACTCAGGCCGGGAGGAAGGGCTCCCTGGGGCAGTGGAACTAGCCGGGGCAGTTGGGTGGGGCTGGATGCAGGAGCTCTGGGTTCAAATCCTGGCTCTGCCGGTCACTGCCTGGGGTGAGTCCCCGCACCTTTCTCTTCCTTCTCTCTGTCAGGCCTGCGCCTGCGTCCTCTGAGCACCCGGGGCAGGGCTCCTGCTCGCTAGGTGCTGCCAGACACCAGCTGTGGCTCTGCGGGGCCAGTACTGCCCCTCACCCCGGCGGCCGCAGCTCTGCCCTGGGCCGTTCCGGGAGGGCTTGGCGAGCGACCAGAGGAAGGAGTCACAGAGGTGGCCGCCTCTGGCGTCAGTTTCATTCTGCGGCTAAGTTGCTGTAATTCCCATGACCTTTATTCCCCAGCCGGCCGTTGGGCCGAGGGCTCGGGGCAGCGTGCTGTCCTGGAGCACTGGGCGCCACTCAGCTCCAGAGCAGGCCAGGCAAGCCCCGATCCCGTCCTAGTGAACGAAGCCACTACCAGACTGGATCAGACGGGAGACACCTCCCGCCCCCTCTGTCCCACTGCAGTCCTAGAGCTAAGCATGTGCTTGTGTCTTTGCAGGGCTCGGGCTCCAATCCCTCTTCAGGGAGGCGGTCGCATGGTGGAGCTGTGAGGGGTTTGAACGGAGAGCTGAGGCTCTGAACCTGGCTTTGCAGCCCGGGGGGGTCGGGAGCCAGACCCCATGGCTGCGAAATTCACGTGGTCCTAGCTGCCTCTGCGGCTCGCCAACTGCTGTTTCATTGCCGGGCTCTTTCCTCTGTCCATTTCTCCTAATAACGTCAAGTAGCTCCCACGTCACCCGACCTCTCGCGCGCCGTCTGGATGCAGCCAGCTCCCACTAACTATGGGAGATGCTTGGCCGTTTCCAGGGTGCAGGCTGGGCCTGCACCCCGCGGTGCCTGCTTGCTGACCGCGGGGTGTCGGGTCGGGAGAAGAACACCCAAACGGCGGGGCTGGTGCGGCATGCGTCATGCCCCTGCTCGTTTCGGGCGGCAATTCCAGTGGAGTTTAATTAGCGAGGAGACCCCTTCGGGACGGGCCTAGCGGAGTGTCCCTAGTGGATTTTGTACAAATGACTGAGGTCCTGGGAAGCGGGCAGCTTTCAGCCAGGCGGTGTCGGTCCGTCTCTGCTGCACGCGGGGGCCTTTGCTGTGCGCAGGTTAGAGAGCCTGGACAGTAGTGATGTTCCAGGGAGGCAGCGGTGAGGCAGTGTAGGGCGCAGAGCGGTCCTAGGCCTGGCTCTGCTGGGGGAGCTTGTGCAAATCTCTGCTCCAGCTACTTTCCCTCCAGGCACCTCGGTTCCCCTCTGGAGAGTGATCTAGAGCGGGGAAGCGGGTGCAGCTGGAGAGGATGTGAGATCGGCCCCGTCACTAGCAGCTGAGGAGGCGTTTGGCTCTGAGACAGCGACAGAACCCTGGCACACAATGAGCCAGCAGCCAGGGCTGGCTGGGAAACAAGAATTCCATTTGGCAGAAGGTTCCAGAGGTTAACAACTCGGGGGAGGAACACAAGCCAAAGCAGCGAAAGGTCGGGTTAAAGAATACCCAGGTACATTCGATGTGAGGAAATTCAGCCGAGGTACCTAAGGGACTGACTGAAGCAATCTTGGAACCGTTAGCAATTATCTTTGAGACTCCTGGGGGAGGGGCGAAGGGCAAACAGAGCGCCTAGCACAGAGGACCCAGGGACGATAGACCCGTCGGCCTGACTCCGAGAGCTGGAAAGATACTGGACCAAATGACAGGTTGTTAGTCTCTAAGGTGCTACAAGTACTCCTGTTCTTTTTGTGGACCAAGTGATTAAACAGTCAGTCTGCCGGCACCTGGAGGAGAGCGGGGTTAGAAGGAATAGCCAGCACGGCTTTGTCAAGGCCAAACCGCCCCCATTTCCTCCTTCGACAGGGCTCCTGGCCTAGTGGATGGATGTGATCGATCTTGGTTTTCATCAGGCTTTTGACACAGTCCCACGGGACGTTCTCAGGAGCAAACCAGGGAAAGCTGCTCTAGATGAAATGATTGTAAGGAGGGGCGCAGCCGGCTGAAAGGGGCACTCCCAGCGAGCGGGGAGGGGGTCCTGCAGGGGTCACTCCTGGGGCCAGGACTGTTCAGTATGTTCATTAACGACCTGGGTAACGGAGTGGAGAGTGGGCTTATCAAATGTGCCGATGACACCCGGGTGGAGGGGCTGGGAGCACTTGGGAGGCAGGTTTAGGATTCAAAACGAGCGTGGCCAATTGGAGAATTGGTCTGAAATCAACAAGCTGAAATTCAGTAAAGACCAGTGCAGAGTGCTGCTCTTGGGCAGGGAAAGTCAAATGCACAAGCCCCGCGTGGGGACTAACCGGCTGAAAAGGATCCGGGGGTCACAGTGGGTCACAAGTTGAAAATGAGCCAACAATGCGAGGCAGTTGCCCAAAAGACAAGTCTTGTTCCGGGGCCAGGTGTAGCGACGGGCGTAGGGGGCGTAGGACACGGGAGGTCGTTCCCTGCTCTGCGCAGCACCGGGGAGGCCTCAGGCCAGTTCTGGGCAGCGCACTTGAGGGAAGATGGGGACAAACTGGCGAGTCCAGAGCAGAGTAGCCAGAACGATCAAAGGTTCAGGAACCCTGAGCTCCGAGGAACCGTTAGAAACCCTGGGCATGTTTAGTCCGGAGAAAAGAAGACTGAAGGGACCTGATAAGGCTTCACATCTGTTCAGGGCTGGTACAGAGAGGACAGTGACCAGTTGTTCTCCGTGTTCACTGGAGGTAGGAGAAGAAGCAATGGGATTAATCTACAGCCAGGGAGATGGAGGTGAGATTGTCACGGAGTATTGGGGAACTCAGGGCCCTGCACCCCCGGCTTCCTGCGATTCACCATGCCTCTCAGCCAGCCAGTAAAGCAGAAGGTTTATTTGGATGACAGGAATACAGTCCAAGACAGGTCTTGCAGGCGCA